GCTTGCAGTCCGAATTCGGGGAAAAGTTCCGTCACCATTTCATTGGTAGGACGATCGCTGCATCCACAAGCCTATTCAAACTTTCCCAAATCTAGGGCCTTGTAACTGAACCTCTGCTTTGGTGCACTTCCTTGCCTTCCTACCTAATTCTGATAAGATTCAGAAGCGGGTGAAGAAACAAAACAGCTCACCTGCATATGGTATCCAGAGATTGATATGCTGTTCCATTTAGGCATTTCTCTGCTTGTATACGCAAAAATGTCCCCTACAATTCTATCAATTTGGAATGAAGCAATAGATCATTCATTCAAAGGTCAGACACTTAGGTCATTCATAAAAACATGGTAATACTTCCACTGACCGATGATCCGCATTGAATGCTCTGGTGGATATATGTAGGTATTACGAACCATGAATTCTTTCAGAATGTCGTTTTGAATAGTGCCAGCCAGCTTCTTCCGCTCGACACCCTTAACAATGGAACTTGCAAGAAGCCTGGGCACAAATCTGATTCAGCACTGATCATTTGGGTTTAGGGTGGCTCCCGGAGGCTAACCATGTGTGTGATATGATGGCACAATCAACCAGCTCCGGTTTTGGGTTTGCTTAACTTGCATTATGCTTCATGCGTCGGTAACCTCAAGGGAAAGGATATCACACGACATACTTCAGTTGGCCCTAGTCCCTTACCCTCTTTACGAGCCCGTTACCCCTATTCAACGTATCTCGTATAACTCATGGTTCTACTGATCATCTGGGACCTTCTATTCTACTGTGACAGCTTTTGTACCTTACCAAATATGTAAAAACTTCTCAACTGGGTCTCTTCCGAGGTTCTTCATTTCCCAAACACCCCCTCGCAGAGCACAGCAGAACGACCGTCTATGCAGAACAATCAAGTTTACCTCTACTCCATAGCTCAATACAGAGAAGTACTGGTCATTTTACACAATCGACTTCTTCCACTGAGTAGATTGGACTTTCAAACCCAGGTTTTCTACACTTTAAGAACGATTACACTTACCGATTCCTCTGCGGCAACTATGTACATAGCCAATACTGGAATTACTGCCCCATTCATGGTCATGGACACGCTCATTTTGTCAAGCGGTATACCTTCGAAAAGCTGAAAATCGGATTACTCCAGCGCCTGCCACAGATAAACCTACGGTAGGAAAAATTTCACGAATGGAGCCCGAACCTTCTTCATATCCTCAACAGAGTCGACAGCTACGCCAGCCATGCCTACATCACCAACCACACGTGGGTTATCGGAATCATAGCTGAAAGTAATTTTCTGAGTAACTCTTGGGTAGTAGGTAGTGGTTGATTTTATTGAAGACATAGCAATAATCGTGTATAGCACAGAGCTGACCCTCGATGCGTAGCCAAATCGAACGCCACCGACAACCCCTGCTGCCCTGCTTTGATGTTCTCCTTATAAAAGGCATTCGATTCTTCGACGGTTGAGAAGCCGGCATACTGCCGGATGGTCCATGGCCTATGGGTGTACATTGTAGGATAAGGCCCACGAGTGTACGGATACTGACCAGGAAGCTGGAATAATACAGATGACAGTCATTTGTATGGTGTACTGCAAGGAAAGGAAGAGGTTGGGAAGGTAATGTAGCTGTGCATTCGTTAGCCAAACTGAGTTCTCTCTTTTAGAACCGTTTACAACCTAGCTTCAGGACATTGAAAAAGCATGATCATCATGGTCGATCGAGCAAAAATTCGCATAATGCCAATGGCTCATCTACAACCCTCTCCTCACAAACACCTGATCAACTAGTTCACAGACTGATGTTGCGGTAGTCTGATATCTTACCTGACTTCTGAGTTTAGATTATCTAGAGAATCTTTAAACTATCTAAACATCGGAATGAAAGAGCAGCCTTTTCAAGAACAGAGCCACAGCATAGTCCAAAGCGTGTAGGTCAGGAGGTGCTATTGCGGTCGCCTCGACGGTTCTCCGTCGCCGCACACCTCGTGTATGGGGCCATTCGTCGATTCGGACTGCGCGCGGCAAATTGCACGGAGAAATTCGTGGCGATTCGAACGACTCTGGCACCTATCATTGGGGAACAAACTTCAAGTAGAGTATTTAGTATGGTCAGCCGATCCTGCTAGTCTACTATACTTCAAATTGTGCCCCAATAATAGGCGTCAGAGACGTTCGACTCTCCACGAATTCCGCCGCGCAATTTGCCGCGCGCGGTCTGAATCGCACGAATGGTCCGTCCCCCGCCCACCTCGCCTCCAATATGATAATATGACCGGATCTTACATCTTCAATCTTTGCGGTATGATGGAGCTCTGACTTTTACCCTATCTCGAAGATCTTGTTAACATAACATTTTCCGTGTGACAAACCTCGATTTCTCTGTGCTCGTCGCATTTCCGATCTTCCCTTAGGTAGAGCGGTTTGATATCGATTCCTTCAGGAGTGTGCCAAATCAGTTTATCCGGATCTTTTCCTTTCATAGCCTTCTTCGCCATTTTTGCCCATGTAGGGTCGATGGGCAGCGGTTGATACGTACCAGCAGAAGCAGAGCATAGTCGTAAACTCTGGAATCTGAGGGATTCAGATAAGCAGAAAATCCTGGGGTCCGAGAAGCCTAATAAGGGCTACAAATCGATCGATGCAGACCAACTCCTTGAAAGGATGGCACAAATTGACACATAAGGTTACAATATACATATACTTTATAATCGTTTGCATTTTCACATCTACAAAAGAGCAATACTCTCGTACTGACAAATCACTTGCATTGAATGAAAACCGGGTGGCTTGTCGTAAGAGATGAAGAGACATCAATGAGTAGACGATTTGCCAAAAAAATACCTACCGCTGCTCTGACCAGTGCTTATATATCAATCGAAGAAGTTAGTACCAGAGATCAATAGTGATAACGGTAATTTTGCATCCCTGAAGATCAGGGGAATGGTGGTTCTAACATGTAACGCCCCATGGAACATGTTTTAACAAGTTAAGCTTAAGATCCCCGTCATAGTAGACGTGTCAGTATTTGGTAACAGTGAACGCGGCCTTCTAAGATGGTCCTGAAGCTACCGCCTTCAGGCACTCAGCATATCGTGATCGATATTCAGCGATCAGACGCGAGACGACGACTGTATGAAATTGAGACAAGTCAGATTTTAAAGTCCCGTGAACATGCGATACAGTAACCCCCTGTGATACAGTAACCCACACCCCCCCCCCTAACATCTACATACTAGAGAAAACTAAGTATCTTAACTTACCTGTTGATATTTCCTTTGACTCTTGAAGTGAACATTTATAGCGGCGTTTTTTAGGTAGAAATTACAGCAAATAACTTTGAACTTGAGAGTCAAAGAGGATATCATCAAGTTATTTCCACCTGGCAAATGCAGTAGTAAACTTAGAAACATTTAGCTTAGTATCCGGAAGTGCCAGGTGGTGCTACGACCACACATATG